CGGGAGCCGGGCCGGGCTGGTGCGAGTGGGCAAAGAGGTTCCATAGAGCACCGGGGCTGTGCGGGGACATGGGGCAAACCCTGGAACCATCCATCGCACCCTCGAACCATGACCTGCTGCAAAATGATCTTCTGTGATGACAGCTGGGAAGGAGCAGAGTAATGACAGCATCCTGGGTGGAGAGGAGGAGCTTTCCTTCTGCTAGAGGCACCTGAAACGACCCCTCTGACAATTATTCGAAGGGGATGATGTGCCAGGCAGATTTTCCGTGGCAGAGCTAGTGATGGTGGGAAGCCGGGGCCGGAGCCTGGCTGTGCTGCACCAGGATCTTTAATGGTCTGTGCATCCAAGGGGAGAAGCGACAACCTGGCTGCTGAATCATTAACTTCTCTCCTCTGAGTCATTCTGCAGCCCTGTGGCACACAGAGAGCCAGGGCAAGCGGGGCTGAGGTGGGTCGTGGCTCCAGGTCGATACGGTGGCAGGGTTAGAAAACTGGTTTCAGGGTAAAAGGTGGAGGTTGTGACTGCGGAACCGGTGAGCACCAGCTTGGACTAACCCAAGGCAATGGGGTTTTGAGACAGAGCCAGGACCTGCACCGGCAGCTGGGGCTGGTCCTTCTGTATTAACCCTCTGGGAGGTGACTGGTTGTGCTGGTGAAAAAGGTGAGGACTGAGAATTAACTTCAGGAGATGGTGGGACACGTTAATGTAAAGGCTGAGTAAAGTCTGGCTGGGGGCGGGTGGCATGTCTCTTCCTCCCTGGCCTTGCTAAGGCACAGCCAGGGTTAAATAACACTCAGCCTTTTCCAAAGTGCAATAGCAAAGCTGCTGGAAAAAGGTTATTTTGTTCTTGTTTATCTTGCTGGGACACCCGGGGGTTCCTGTGAGGATGGGGAAAAACTGCACTTTGGAAAACTTTGCAGTGGCAAGTGCTGTACAGTTATTTTCATTCGGATTTAAACCTTCCCCTGCAGTGTTTGCCAATTTCAACACGGCAGCACGACTCCAAGGCAGGAGAGCTCCAAAGGGAAATGGAATGGGGGCTTTGCTGGATAAAGCCAATTTAAAATGCAGGGAAGGAAGTGAAACAATGTGAAAAATTAATCACTTCTTACAAAACCCCCTGCCTTTTGTCCTTATCGTCTAGATATACAAACTGCTGGGGAAGGGAGGGGAGGACAGCGGGCTTGGAAATGTAATTAGACTGGCAGCTTGTTAATGCAGTTATTTCCACTCTCTGGGTTTGGTGTGAAGTCCCCGCATGATGATGGCACGGAGCACTGCTGGTGTGGCCTGAGCTGTGTCGCTGACACGAGCAGACCGATGGCCAAAAGCATCAGCGCTGTGAATGCTGGGCTCCCGAGAAAATCCAGTCCTTTCCTGATGCAAGGAGACCTGACCACTGTCCAGACCACCCAGCAGGGACCACTCTTTGGTGCTCAGTGGCTCAGCCTCCAATCCAAGAGCTCAGCAACTCTGAAAATCAGCTTCCCAGCCTGCGTTGCACTGCACGGTAGGGAAACCTTGTGCTCAAACACTCGTGTTTTTGTTCTCTGCTAATTGCAGACCCACAAGGAGACACTCAGCACAGCAAGCTCAGTGCCTTTTTATTTGTGCAAGTTGTCGCTCAGCAGTACACAGTTATACGTGCAGTAGTGGTTATGAGTTTGTGCAGTCTGATTTACAATATCACCCACGGGCAATGGCAAATAACCATTACGAGGGCACTAACAGACTTCTGCACAACACATTGGTGGCTGCTCCTGAACCTCTTTTGTTACATCTCAACCCACACCTGGTTTCAAATAAATGCCTTTCTTAGGTGTGGGTCTTGGAAAACTAGCATGAACCCATGGATGGTGCCTGGGGTGAAGGCAGAGCTGCTGGAGGAAGGGGAACTCATGGTGAATCTCTTGGGCAGCTCATTGGGAAGCTCAGGCTGAGATGAGTTTGCTTTTATGTATCTGGTTTTCCTAAAATTCTCCTTGTTTTGGAGCGTTGTTGTTTTCACATCAGGTGTGATGGAGCTCTTAGATATGGAGCACTTGGCACAAAGAGTGTCATAGGGGAAAAAATACCTCCTGAAGAGCTCAGCAGTTCGTGCTGGTTCTGGGCAGTGGGGAGGAAGGTGTTAAAAACTCAAGTGAACGTGGATTTGCTGCTTGTGCTGTACTAGGTACAGCCAGTCTGTTCCCGTGGGCAGGAGGGAGTGGGACTCGAAGACGAGGACACTGATGAGGGACAGAGGAGCAGGTCACACTCTGAGGAGCTGGAGGATGTTCAGCCCCACGTAGTGAGAGAGGAAGAAATGCAAGATGCCCAGGGCTGACGCTGCAATGAGAATCCACAGAACTCCAGAGCTAAAGTATATTGGGGTGAGCCTGGTGGGAGAGAGGAAACCTGCTGAGACCGAGCATTGCTGCTGTCACCCAGGAATGGCCCTTCCTCTCTGCAGAGAGGGATGGAAAGGCAGCCCCTGGCTGTCCCCTGTCCCCTGCATGGGGTCCCATGCTCTGCCCCTGCCTGGAGGGAGCACACACAGCCACAAGGGCTCGGGGCAGCTCCGGCCTTGCCCCGTGTCTCTGGCCCCAGCCCTGTACCCACATTATGCCCCAGGGAGAGCTCAGCAAGGCTGAGTCATCCAGGGACCCCAAAGCAGCCAGAGGGAGTCCTGAGCTTCCCCAAAGCACGTTATGTTCCCAAATGCAAACCCCCAGGGGTCACCATGTACTCCAGGCTGGCAGAGGCGTTTACCTTTCCAAGGATGATGCCCTGTATCCCATAAAGTAGCAGTAGCGGGCGTAGAGATAGAGCAGACCCAAGGCTGCAGCCAGACCTGCAGTTGAGAAAGATCACAGTGACCATCTCCAATGGCTTTTTAGATCTACACTGAGCCAAGCATGTAGCCCAAAGTGAAGGAACAGAGCCTCTGTGTCCTCTGGCTCTACCCTCCCATCAGAGACAGAATTACTGCCCAGTTCATTGTTCAGAAGGTGAGCAGGACCTGAGGACTGAGCCAGCACTCAGGGGAACAGATCCAGTGACAAACAACGGGCTGTTCTCACCTTGATGGAAGAAGAGTCCAGCCTGCCACAGAAGTGCCAGGAAAATGGGAAAATACTCAGAGGAGTTCACCCTGGCAGGAAAGATGAAGGTCATAAACAAGGGAAAGGAGGAAGAGCTTCCTTTTTCACTTCCCCTAGCAGTTTTCAGAAGCTGGGGACTGTTGCTTTTTAGAGCTGATCTTGCCATAAAAAAGCCTCCAGGTTTGCACCTTTCCCTGCAGCTCCCATCCCACCTTTATTCACAGGAATTAACCAATGGAAGGAGCAGGGTCTCCATGGCACAAGAAATTAAGTAAAAGATGCCCAGGACAGACCATGCACAGAAAGGCTCCGTGAACCAGCCCCACTGCTGCAGCTTAAACCCTGCTGTAAAAGCCCTGCAGACACGTTGAGGATGAAGTGCACCTTAAGCAGATAAGGCCAGAGCAGCTTGGGCTTTGTGCAGGAGCGGGAGGGAGCACAGAGCTGGATTGTTTATACACCATGCCCTGTCCCCCCAAAGTAGTAGGACAAAAGAGATGCTGGATGAGGCTGAGTCTAGGCTGGCAAAGGAGCAGAGGAGGGGATGGCTGAGGGGATCCTTCTGCTGCCCAGTTGCTTTTTTTTTTTCAGTGCTCAGCTACAGCAAAAGCAGAAGCTTCCTCCCCCTCTGCTTCCCTCCCCACTGCAGCCCTAGAAGTCACATCAGAGATGCTGGATTGTGGCTATCCCCATGCCAGCCTCAGCTGAGATCTCTCTGGGAGCTTGTCCTTCCCAACAAGCGTGGTTCAGAGCAGCACTGAAGCTGCCTGAAGCTTTGAGACTGCTTGGCTAAAATCAGCCTAAGACTCAGGTACCCACAACTACGTCTTTAGCAGCCCTGTACTCTACAGCAGAGATTTCTGTGTGGTTTCTATTGGCAATGGCTGGTGTGTTTAGGACTCATGAGGCAACAGTCTCGATGCTGACCCATAAGCCCATTAACTTAACCCTGAGAGAGGAGAGTAACTGGTGAATTACAGTCCCAAGAAATAAATGGCAAAGCAGGGGAGGGGCAGTGCCGTTAGACATGAGATCTGGAAAGCATCTGGTAAGAGGAGTTTCTTACTGTGCTCGAAAGATCCTCTCAAATTCAGGTGGGCCTGAGATCTTTGGAGGAGAAATGCCAAACGCCCTCCTGGCATAGATCACCTGGAGGAAGAAGTAGCCTGCAGCAAAAGAGAGAAAAGTAGCAGTGGTCAGTCCTCTGGCTGGGCATGGTGGGGCCAGGAGACTGCCAGAGGTCAGGGCAAAAGTTCTGTGGTCTCCTCCTGAACTTACAACCCACGTAGCAGAGAGAGACGGATGAAAATGCCAGATTAAGTGTCAGACATGGAAAAGGAATGACCCAATGCAACACTGAAGCACGGAGTATGCAGCCATGTACCACCAGCGGATATCTGCTTTCTCTCTTGTGTAATTAAGAGATCATCTCGTATCTGCAGGAATTGTTACGCAGTTCAGATGCACTCGTTACTGCCAATTGTAAGGATTTTTCAATCTTTAATTTTTTCCCCTTTTAAATCCTGATAGTTGAGCAGTGAGAGGACTGATGCCAGTGTCCTGGTTTCAGCTGGAACAGAACTGATTTTCTTAGTAGCTAATTTTCTTCTTAGTAGCTAGAACAGCGCTGTGTTTTGGTTTCAGTATGGGATTTGGTATGAGAAAGGTGATAATATACTGATGTTTCTAGTTGTTACTGAAAAAATCAAGGACATTCCAACTTCTTGTGTTTGGATAGTCTGCAGGTGCAGAAGAAACTGGGGTGGGGCATAGTGAAATCAGCAGACCCAAATTGGCACTTGGATATGCCAATGGGATATTCCATATGATATCTCGTCATGTTCAGTATATAAATGAGGGTTGACTGGAGTGCTCTCTCTCTCTTGCAGAATTGCAGTTTTGATTTTGGGATTTTTGCTCCTCCAGGATTGCCATCTGGGAACAGTCTCAGCATTGGTTGGTGGGTGGTGAGCAATTGCACTGTGCATCACTTATTTGTATATTTTATTATTATTATTAATTATTATTATTATCATCATCATCATCACCATTATTATTTTAAGTTTTATTTAATTTCAATTATTAAATTGTTCTTATATCAACGTACAAATCTCCTTACCTTTACCCCTCCAAATTATCTCCCCTGTTCCATGGGTGGGGAGGGAAGTGAGTGAGTGGCTGTGTGGTCTTTGGCTGCTGGCCAAGTTAAACTACAACACACAGATAAGCCATGCAGACACTGAATTAAATTGTCACACAATGTGGAACCACGGCTGGGAGATGTTCTGTGAGACCCACTGCAGCCTGTTCTTCCACCTTGCTGCACAGCAGGACTCTTTGTATGCTAATATCTATGTGAACCTCGGGAACTGCTGTAAACTCATTGTTCAAAGAAAGAAATTCTAGATGTTTGCAGAGGAGAAGATCTACCAAGAAATTTCTGAACTGAGGAGGTAGGTCAGTTCAGAAGAATGACACTTGTTTTTTTGAATATGTTTCAAAACCTAGACAAGATATCAATCCACTCTCTGAAAAGTGAGGAAGTGCCACTGCAACAACAGAAATGAAATATGGAAGTGAAAGGAAATCAGTGGAGGTACAGAGGATTGACCCAGCAAGCATTTGGGTACGTGCATCCCATGCTCCTTACCTTGCTCCAGGACTCCCAGGACTGTCACAGCAGCCAGCAGATGAATCTGATCCAACATATTGACTCTTCCAGATCCTAGAAAATCTGATTTCCTGATCAGAAGCTCCTCTCACCAGGTTTAGTCCTTGCTGATGTGGCAGTCGGCAGTGGCAGCTGGCAGCGTAGATTTGCTCTAAGTGAACAGGGAATATTTGTATGCGGCGCTTAAAAACCAGGAGGAGTCTGGCTGGCCCGTTTCCATATGCACAGTGGAAATGCACATTGCCAGAGAGAGGTCTAAAGGAGTATTTCCGTTCCCGCCCTCCCTTTTCCAGGAATGACTTATGAGGAAGCGGAAAAGTCAGCAGATTGCTAATGTGTGAGAGATAAAAGGGGAACAGGAGCTGAATGCGGGGATTAATCTCAACAGCCCAGCAATCCGCTCCTCCTGGGGCACCTGGTTTAAAACCGCTCCTAACAAAAGCCAAGGCACTTCCCTCTTCTGATGTGGAATGAGAAACCGTGGCCCCGCTGAGCCTGTTCTGAGCATCAGGACAGGCAGCGTGGTACATGTCACGCTACATGTCACGGTACATGTCATGGTACATGTCACGGTACGTGTCACTGCGTGCACGGCCTCTGGAAAGCATGTGCTGGGCACAGAACACAACTTACGGCCACAACACTGGGAAAGCATCAAACAAAGCCCTCGAGTGAAAAACCCACTGCAACGGTAAGACAGGATGTGATGAAGGTACAGGACTGTCCTGCACCGTGATCCTTTATTTGGGGATAGGTCCTGCAGAATGACTGTCAGACACTGAGAGGGTTTCAGAAAGGAAAGGCTGGGAGCTGTGTATTTAAGGCTGCTGATCCATCCTCAGCCAAATTAACTCATCATAAACACCAGAGAGAATTCTGTGTGGGTAAAAGCCTGCAGAATTCATCAGGATATGGCAAAAGGGAAATTATGTTTTCATTTGTCAGGAGAGAGCCACTTGGCTAATTCCTGTTTAAGAGCACAAAGCTGGCACAGCTGCGAGCTGCTGAGACTGTTGGCTTTGTTTCCTTCCCCTCCCTTCATTTAAAGAATTTTCCCTTCGGACCAGGGAAAAAAGAAAGCAGGTTGAGACAAAGTGATTGTTAAATGTCACTATTATAGAAAAAAAATCAGCTTAAAGCAATTACAGATTAAATAAATGACATTATATGCCTGATGTCCCTGATAGACTTTCTAAGAAGCAATAAACTGGTGCCAGTTTTCTGCCTCTCTAAAAGCAATAAAGGCATCCAAACAACATCCCAGCTTAGTATTTCTCCAAATATCAAACACAGACACCACCATTTTACAAGCACCGGCTGTAAGATTAATTCTTTCATCTCAGAATTGATCGTTTTTCATTCCAGTGACTGTTTAGAAATACAAGGAACATTGTGTTTTCTTTTCTCCCATTTAGCTGTCAAAGAAATGAAGGGCTCCCCTGTGTCAGCTCAAAAAGGGCAGAGGTCCCGCGGTGCTTAATGATGTTTGATTTCCCTCTGCTCCTGTCTGATTACAGCCCGCTAGCAAAAGAAAACATAAAGCAAAACAAGTGAACAAAGAGACCTGAGCTTACGCCTCCATCAGATGACAGTGTGGTGTAATCTGCTCCAAAAGTGTCAAATATGTGTAAGGAAACCAGGGCCAGGAGGAGCTGTAGAGGTTGCCATAGAGCACTCCTGCTCCCCAAATCATCATCAGATGCAAAATACTTCTAGTACCATCTAGTGCAGTACAAATATAATAAAGGCGAGTAGAAACATGAATGAATAAGCAAAGCACAGATGTCTCTCCCCTCCTCCCTCCCCAAGAAGCATAATTTTTCAAGCTGTCTTTACCTCCTGAAGGGCACAACGTTTTTCTTGTCCCTGTTTGTCACCGTCAGAACTTGCCTTATTTTCTGTTCTCACTCGGTGTTTGCAAGGAGCAGACACAAGTACCCTCCGCCCGGCACCAAACACCCTGCGATGATGAGTCTGGCACCGGTGGACAGCCTCAGCATCCTGCTGACCACGGTGGCCACCAGCATCCCTCCCTGTGTAGATGCACAGCAGACATGGTCACCCTCACCACCCTGGCCTCTGCCACCCTCCTGCTGTTTGCATCCGACCTCATGACGATGGAGTTTTCTGGTGGAACAGAAAACTCTCCGGACCACAAGCAAAGAGAGACCTGCCTGCAGGCAGCTGGTGGCACGGCCACCGCATCCCTGGGCTTTGCAGGAGGAGAGGGGCAGGAGGGGCAGCCAGGGTGGGGAGATGGGGACAAGGCGTCACTGCTGTCATCATCTGCCTGCAGTGACACTGGAATAAGCCTATTGCAAAACCTCACCCTCTGAGGCTGACATGGCCGAATTTCTTCCTAAGCAAAGACAAGTTCTGCGGTCCCAGGCTCACCTCAGGATGGATTCTTTGAGCAGGAGCTAACGAAATGCTGTCCCTCTCTCCTGCTCCCCGACGTGTACTCGCCTCTCCAGGTTGTGCTGTGTGAATCCCAAGTCCTCGAACCTCCCACTGAGTCATCCTTAGAGGCATTTCCCCGTGCCCACGGATGCTTCTGCCTCCTAATTACCAGCATAGAGCTGCACTGTCAGCGGGATGGCAACACCAATCAGGATTTAAAAAAATCTTGGGAAGGAAAATAAGCAACACAAAAGGCTTGGAGGAGTTTTAATCAGCCACAGAGTTTGCAGTATCTATTAGTCCCCAGGAGCACCGATTCCAGCGCCATTACAGGCAATGACATCCACCTAGGAACGTATTTTATTAGAGCACAACGGGCCAAGAGCTTTCTGTGAGTGGAAGAGGGAATATTTTGCAGCTGAGCAACTTACCCTTCAGCTGTGGAGCACAGGGGCACCGTGTCCTTCCAATTATATTGTAAAAATATAGAAATATTTTCTAATCTCGTTGATGCTTGTGCTTCCTTCCCCTTCAGATTCTTTCGCAGCCACTGAGCACATCCAAACCCATGACTATGGAACTGCTTGCAGGAACAGTTAGTGTCTTTCTAACAGCCACATCGGGGAAAAAAATGAGTTTTTTCATTCAAAGGAATTAAAAGCCACACAGAAAAAAAAAAAAAAAGGAGGTTTTTTAGTTCAAGAGAATGCAAGAGAGCCCAGCCCTGAGCGTGTCAGTCTGTTCAACCAACAGCTCCCTCAGGCTCAACCTCCCATGCCAGCGGAGCCTGCTGTTAACTCAGATCAATGTGTGTTGAGATTTTCCTGGAATTCTTGGATTTTGGAGCTGTAAGAGGAAACATGGGCTAAAAACATGACAAGAAAAGGCCAATTCATTATTTCAGCCCCTACAAAGATGCAGTTGGCCACGTGTGGCTGTTCGGAGGAAGTGAGGACAGCTGCAAGCAATTTCTGCTCTGCAGTTCCCTCCAGAGCTCCCAGCAAGGCACAAGCTGGCTCCCATCTCCTGAGCATTTTGAAATGTGTCCTGGGTTCTGTATTTTAACCTTAAAAATTTTGCATGTCAAGAATCACCACGTCTTCCAAAAATGTGCATCTATACAGAAGAAGAAGAAGAAAGAAGAAGAAGAAAGTAAAATAGCAGGTGGTTGGTTTGGCCATCAATATCCAAGCTGGGTTAT